AGGGAGAAAGACGGGGTGTTCTACTCCTTAAACAGTTAGAGTCTCTCAGAAGACAACAACCAGGGCAGTTCCAATGTGTCCTATAGGGTCTAACGTGTCCTATATGCATCGGCATCGACGCAATGGCAGTGAGGTTGGTCTTTTGATTTATTACTATTGCACGCTGAAAATATAATCCAATAATAAGAAAACATTTCCATTTCCTGTTCATGTAGCCTTAATGGTAGAACCATCTCTACCTAAATGTACCTAAATGAATGCCAGGTAACATCAACAAAGCTTTCTAAATAGAACAAGTTATGAAAACAAAGTGCTATTGAGCTAACTTCTCTCTGATGATCTCTCCTCTGGGCCTTCACACTGGAAGGAGAGGATTCTAAAGTCACTTTGTGGCACACAACATTGATCTTTCCTATTGACTACTCACCACCAGCAAAGCTGCCACATCCTGTCACTTTGAATGGCAACCTCACAGACAGCCTGAGTGCTTCACTTACATTATCCAGAACACTTAATTTGATGGCTGGGGGTTGTATTTTGAGTTGCAAGTGCCTTCATTTCCCAGCAGGAGATGTGCCCCTGATGGGCTTTTTCATCCCCAAGGCTACTCCTCCTTCCATAGTGAGACAAAGAGGGAGCGCTACGATTTAAATACTAAATTGTAATGCCATTTAATGCATTATGTTAACTTCTAATGATACTCAATTTAATAACCTTAAATGATAGTGTTAAAAGAATCCTTATGGAGACCTGACTTTCTAAGTGGAATTACTACATGCTTATAGGAGAAATAGCCTGGATATTTAAAGATGCAAGATGAGTCACAAAAAAGAATTCTACTTTAAAAATTTAATATTCAATTGATACCAACATTAAGAAGATCCAAGACTAATTTCAAAGTACAGAATTATTTAATTATTTGGCATCTCTTTTTTTGGAATTAATACTATAACTATTTTTTCCTAGAACTATTTGGTCCTAAGAGAATTGTCCAGATCAGTTCCAATCAAATCATGTGAAAGGAATTGCTTTTTCGTGTATGGTCTGGAGCACTTTGAAATAACTGCAGTAAAAAAAGAAACCAAAGCAGTCATTGCCCCTCATCTGATTCTGACACGCTGGGAAGCCCTGGAGGGACAGAGGAGAACCCACTCAGTGTGGTTTTCAAGGGTGTAATTCCATCGGGAATCGATGGCTCTGTCTTTCTCCCTGGGATCAGATAATGACTTCAAACTGCTGACTGGGTTCTGTTAGTATTGCAGCACTTCCAACCATTGTGTTGACCGGGGCTCCTAACGTAAGAAAGAGAACTTCTTGAATTAGCTCACCGACCTTTTGCCAGGGTAGGCTTGCCTTCGCTCTTTCCTTATTTTGTTTTATCTTAGATTGCCTGGAACACATTTTTATATAACTGGGTAAGTTTTCATTTTATTCTTTCTCTCAAGGACCTGAGAAATACCAGAGAATACTTCCAAAAAGAGCCCCCTGAGGCCACAACATGCAGTTGTTGACATTCTCTCATCGTTTGAGTTTTCTATCATACGAAATGGTGTTCTGGAGAAATATCTAACTATGAACACTTGTCCATGATAGACTTCCATGGAAGATGGAATCCTTCAACACAGACAACTACTCGGTAAAGACCAGCCTGTGATTTGAAGCTAATGTACTAATTTTTTTTAGGAATTTCCAAAATATTTAAGAAAAACAATTCACTGCCATCGAGTCAATGTTGATTCAGGGTGACTCTAAACAACATGGAAGAGCGGCCCCTGAGAGTTTCTGAGACTGTAACTCTTTATGGAAGCCAAAAGTCTCCCTTTCTCTAGACCAGTGGTTCTCAACATTCCTAATGCTGTGACCCTTTAATACAGTTCCTCATGTGGTAGTGACCCCACCCCCAACCACAAAATCATTTCCGTTGATACTTCATAACTGTCATTTTGCTAATGCTATGAATCAGGTGACCCCTGTGAAAGGATCATTGGACCCCCAAAGGGGTCGGGACCCACAGGTTGAGAACCACTGCTCTAGAGATTAGCTGGTAGTACTACCAGCATTGTGGTTAGCAGCCCAAACTCAAGACACAATTTAATTGAGATCTAAAACTCAAACATCATTAGTATTAGAAGGCAATTTAAGGATGACCAAATGCTCACATACTAGTAAAAATGGAAACCTATGACTTCTAAGGGTATGGTTGTCATGTAAACACAAAATCTGGCTATGAATCCACACATTTTTCATTTTGCAGTGTTTGGGGATTAGGTTTTTGTTCATTTAATTTGTATATGTGTATGTTTGTGCATTTTGGGCTAGCAAATTAATCTAGTTAGATACTTTAAGAGTGCCTCGGTAATAAAAGAGGTTAAGAGCTCAAGTACAAACTGAAAGGTTGGCAGTTTGAAGCTACCCAGATGCAATTCACAGGACAGGCCTGATGGCTCTATTCTGAAATGTCACAATCTTGCAAAGCTCTGTGCCCTGTTTTACTCTACAGACATAAAGTCATAACACGTGGTCAGAGGCATGGCAGGGGAGCCTTAGACACTTCAGAAGCATGATTTTAGTAAATGTTCACAACGGTGTTTGACTAATGAGCAGGGACAGATTACACAGTAAACCAGGTAATGCTTATTTAGGAGTTCTGCAGTGAACACAAATTAGTAAACACAAATAAACCTGATTTTGCCTTGCCAACTGAGTACTCTGTCCCTGTCAGGAATTACAAATTTGAAAACAGGCTTTGATTCTCTAAGAAGGTTCTGCGGGGGCAGGAGCTAGACAAAAATGCCTGCCCTACCTAACAGCAGAATCCTTGATGTGGTGAAAACTGTGAAATTGTTCACGACAGATTTGCAAATAAGTGGTAGCAAAGGTGTGCTTGCCTTACGTACTGGGTAATCCTCGCAGCTGCTCCTGAGTTGTTGTTCGACTATAGTCCCCATTTGACAGATAAGGAGTGAGGTGGAGAGAAGTTATGTGACTACCCGAGAACACAGAGCAAGTAGAAGCCCAAGTCTGCTTCAGCCTGAAGTTGTTCCTAACCCTACCTGGTTTTTGGCACAATTCTTTAAATACCTCTTTGTACCTCCCCCTTTTCCAGGAAACAACAGTTTGGAAAATAAATGTTCTCTGTACAGAAAGTTAGCACCGTACAGTCACAGCACAAATGTGCAGATTGGAGTCATGCCAATTCTGGATTTTTTATCCACAGTCAGATTGTATAATCCGTTTAAGACCATTTGCTAAGTCATTCTATTTCTGTACTGATGACTTAGGAGCAGCTGGGATTTTTTTTTTTAAGCCAAAAATTTAGAAATCTTAGATCTCTATTTAAAAGAGAGAGAGAGACTCCAGATAATGCAAAGAGCTGCAATGGTGAATTCCTGCTCACTCTGAAAAACTGGCAGGAAGCCCTGAAAGGCCCAATTACTTTAGAAAGGGTTGGGGGGGGGGGGGGTTGTGTTGTATATGAGTCCTGTAATCTTCACAAACTGGCAGAAATGATCAAGGTCATCTCATCTGTTGCCAAAGATTCATGTTACTACAGCTAGAAGATTTATATGAGCAGTCCTGCCTCTGCTTTCATTCCAACTCTTTCAAAAAAAGAAAGAAAATTCTAATCTTTCCTAGAAGATGCCAATTGCATATGAAAAGTACTCTAAGCCACCAATAAAATGATTTAAAAAATAAAAATTAAATTAAAAAAAAAAGAAAGTACTCTAGACATTGGTTAGGTCTCTGCTCTTTATAGAAGCTTCCAAAGTCCACAGGTTTTATTTTTAAATAGGGGCAAATCCCTACAGATGAGTACGGTAACAAACTTTCTGAGAAGTGGTCAGCTGCCTCTTCCCTCTATAGAGAGGAATTGACAGGTGACGCTCTGGGTTGTGTTGCTAACCACAAGGTTCTTGGTTCAAACCCACCAGCCACTCTTTGTTCCCCTAAAGATAGAAAGTCTCAGAAACCCTATGGAGCAGTTCTTCTCTCTCTTATAGTCACTGCCACTCAGAATCTAGAGGGCAGTGGGGTTTGGGGGTCTTTCAGCCCTTACCTTAACTAGATCTCATTCAATAGTCTCAGACTTAGAGAAAGCACCAACATTGCCTGAGTGCCTCTCAAACCACTGACTGCTGCTTCCTACCCAGTGTGTCTGTGGCCACAGAGCTGGCAATCTGCTCCCGTAAAGATCACAGCACAGAAAACCCTAGGGAGCACCTCTACTTTATCACATGGGGTCTGGATGAGCAGGAATCTGCGAGTGGCACCTAACATGAGAACCACAAAGCTTGGAACTGGGGTCCTAGCTTTGCATTGTTAAGGAATCCACAAGCCTGCAGAAGATGCTAGCAGGCACCCACTGCACTTTGAGAATCGCTGTTCTAATGCACAGGACTCCAAATTCGATTGCACCTTGGAATCACCTGAGAGATGGCGCGCGTTCCGTGTGTGTGTGTGTGTGTGTGTGTGTGTGTGTAAAGTTGGTGCCTAAGTCCCACCCCAGATTCGGATTTAATTGTTCTGGGGCATTGCTTAAGCACAGTTTTTTTGTAAGCTCCCCCACTGATTTCACAAAGCAGCAATCTAGTACACCCCACTGGCTCCCAGACCCACCGCCCTGCATCTCGGCGTGACGCTCCCCCACGCGCCACGTGGGGACACTGGAGACCCTGTCAAGAAGATAAAGGGCACTCATCCTTAGGGGAGTCACCGCCCCACATTAGTTAGTTTTTCAGAGACCAAATACTAAAACAGAAATCGGTGCCCAGATCACCTCCTGAGATTGAATAATCCCAAGGAGTTTTGCAGGACAAAACCCTGGCATCCCTGCCACCAGTCGGGGCACAGTTTGCCCCTCACTTCACCCACCGCTTCAGCCTGAAAAGAAAACTGCACCTCAGGAAATCCAAACTGTCACTATGCAATCCCTGGGGACCAGCATTGAAGCTCCTCAGATGTCACACTGCAAAGGCGAGGGGACAGGGCAGTCACCTTACCTAGCAGGATGTCCAGGTCACGGTTGCCGCCCCCAAGCAGCTGCGAGATCTGTGGGGGTACTGGGGTGTCCAGAGAGTGATCAGCCCCTCGCCGGGCAAAACCGGGCTCTGATGGGTTTGCTGCCTGCCACACTGCTCCCCGCTGCAGCTCCGCAACGCTCTCTGGGCCCCCGGAGGCGGAGCCTAGGAGATAAGGTTCGAGCTCCCCACCCGCCCCCTTTGCTGGGACGGAGGCCAGAGGGTGGGTTTTGGATCTGAATCGGGAAGTGCAAAGTGCAAGTGCAGCCCTGCTAGAAACCGGCTCTGTGCAAGTCCTGCCTCGGCCAACCAGTGCACGGCTGGGGATTTGAAATGGGCGTGAGGACGGATAAAGGAGTCTGGAGGACAGGAGCGAAAGGAGGGATTAAGCGCAAGAGTAAAGATGAAAGCAATTGACTTGGAAAGTCAGGCGAGCCAGGAGGGGGACGTCTGGGCAGCATCCTGGGACCAAACACAGATCCAGCTGGGGCTGCGCCCTGTTGCCTGTGAGAAACAGCCACTTCTGAAAGTGTGGTCAGTCTTCTGGGACACTCGCAACAGGGGACCTTCCTCTGACCTAATGTCATGAAGTCCTAAGGAACAGCCACAGAAGACCTGAGGAGAGCTCACTTTCAGTCAGTAGGCAGTTACTGGTGTGGACTGAAAGTCTAGGATGAGGGTCTGCCTGCTCAGTACTCTGCCCTGCCAAGCCTTTCTCCATGCGGTGTTAGCATTCAGTGCCCCGGCTTCTCTCCTGCTCTGACTGCCTCTCGCCTCCCACCCCTCTTTGCTGTCTTGTCACTCAGGCCTTGTTTCCCATTCTTGATCAGACCAGTGTGTCCTTATCTCACTTGTGGTTTCTCCTCTCTCTCTCTTTCCCCCCCGCCCCCCCACCAGATTTGTTCCGTTGCCTGTTTCGCTTTACTCAAATCTCTGCTGATGTCACTTCTCAAAGGTCCTTCCTGGACAGTCTGTCCAAATGAGACATTCAACCGTTCCCATCTCTTATCCACCCAATTTTACCACTCTCCGGAGTTTTGCTTTCTATCCCTCTCTAGATAAATGGAGAGTAGCGGCTCTGCTTTGTCCTCTGCAAAGAGAACAGTTCCTGAAATATAGTAGATGCTCAGTGAATGTCTACTGAATGGATGCATACAGGAATCACTGAAGGGAGGCCTCTCACAAAGAAATGCCTTTGGGAATTCAGAAAATGATTCTCACTGAATTCTGGTCGCATATCAGTACATTTGGGGGATGATCATTTCCCCATTCATTCATGCATGCATGTATCCAGGTTAGAGTCTTTGGTTTTCTCAGTGTAATATGTTTACTCATGGGTCATATCCATGAAAATGTAGTAGTAATCTTCCAACATGGCCAAATATTGCCTGGTAATCCTCTGGTTAATTAAAGGAATACACCCCAATGTCTCAGCAGCTGCCCATTCTACTTCGCAGAGGAAAACCTCTCCTTCCAAAACTCAATATGCACTCATCTTTTTGCATAAATCAAAATGAAAACAGGATTCCTCCACTTTTGCTTTGTGCTCCACATCTTTTTAACTCCTTTGGGATCAACTTTCATGGCGATTCTAACTCCTTTTAGATAAATCTTCTATGAACTCGCCATCACTAAATTAAACTTCCTCCAGACTCCCCTACCCTACTTCATTATATGCTGGTGCTCATACCACTGCCTGAACAGCCCCAAACACGTTACGAACACGTTTCGATATGTACTAGACCAGAGATACTTTTCCTAAGTCTAATTCAGGATGCTGATGGTGGGCTCTCCTCATGTGTCAGACACTCTCCAGGTTAGTATCATGCACCCTGCTTGTGAAGAACGGCTGCAAAGACGACATATCAAATTTTTCCTCTCTTCGTCTTACAGCAGTTTTTAACCCAGTCTGTCCCTTCCCTGTCCTTCCTGAAAACCTCATTTTCCTGGTGATTTTTCTCCTACTTCTCAGTCTCTGATATGGGCTCCTTTTCATCTGTCCAACATAAGATTCCCATCCCCACCGGTGGGGGTTAGGAAGTATGTTAACTAGATACTTCTTGGTAAGGGTAGGAAAGAGCCCAGCCTATCAGGCAGGTCACAGCCTGATGACACCTCCTTTGGAGTGTGGCCTTTGGCATAAGAAAGAGATGGAACAGAGTGGATCCTCTTTGACCCTTCACCTGCTGATGGAGCTGGATCTTGCATCTAGCTCCTCTGGTTCCCCTTGCTTCACCTGTCTATCCCAGGAGCCATCAGCAGACTACCAATGGTGGATTCATTCAGCCACCTTCATGTTCATTCACCTCTCCATCCACCAGTCTGTGCCCCTTGCCATCTCTGCTGCTTCCTCAGCTTCCATGAGTCAGGAGAAGGCTAACTTAAACTAGACTGGACTTACCTACTTCTACAAGTAAGTAAGGCATTTATGGGTGAAAATCTCTTGCGATGTACAAACACATAAATCGTCACTGGGTTTGCTTCTCTAGAGAACTTAACCCAACACGCTAACCTTGGCTTTCTTCTCTTCTCTCAAAAACTTCACTTCAACCCTTTTAGCAATTTCAGGATGAATTACAAATCAAAATAAAGGGGGAAAAAAATCCAGTAGACAACATCATGATAACCAGGGAAGAGATTGAGGTTGTTAGGATTTACATTTTACTGAAATCCACAATGTTCGTGGAAATCGCAGTCAAGAAAGCAAATGATGTGTTGCATTGAGCAACTCTGCAGAACAAATCTCTTTATAATGCAGAAGAGCCAAGAAGTCACTAAGGACCCAAGTGGCCTGGCCTTAGCCATGGTATTTTCATTGCCTCACATGCATGTCACATCTGGACAGTGAATAAGGTAGGCCAAAGATAAATTGATGCATTGAAATTATGGTGCTGGGGAAGAATATTAAAGTACCATGGTGTGATAGTTATATATTCGCTTGTCAATTTGAGAGGTTATGAGTGAAGGGGTGGATAATAGCCTGTCAATCATTGTATAGCCAATGAGGCTTCTGTGTGGGCATGGCCTTCCCCTGAGGATTCTGGGAATTCCTGTATTCTTCCCTGGTGGTAGAAGACACTCTCTTTCTCTACTCACTCCCTGAGAGATGCTCTACTGACAAGATAAATGGCATTTTGCTAATAGACCCCATGTCTTGAGAACTGGAGGAAGCACATGGAGACCCCTGCCAGCACTGAGATGCTTCTACCACCACTGGGTCCACAAGACTTTGCACCCACTGGCCTATGATCTTCCTGCATTCAGCATCATTGCATGTTTCCTGAGTCTGAAGAGGACTTTATAGATTGGTATCAGACATATTGGTTAATATGGGGCTTATGGACTTGATCTGGACTGTTGCAGACTTATGTACTTCATCTGGACTGTATCAGACTTATGGACTTGATCTGGACTGGGCTGGGATGTTTTCTCAATATTCTACTGCTCTTGTATATAAAGCTTTTTCTTATACACATATGAGTGTCTATGAATTTGTTTCTCTAGTCTATGATTAACACACATGGACTGTAAGAAGAAAAAACAACTCTGTTTTGAATGAAGTACAACCAGAATGCTCCTTGGAAGCAAGGATAACAAGACTTCGTGTCACCTATTTTTGGCATGTTATCAGGAGAGACCAATCCCTGGAGAAAGATATCATGCTTGGTAAAAATAGAAGGGCAGCAAAAGAGAGGAAGAACATCAATGAGATAGATTGACTCAGTGGTTGCAACAATGAGCTCAAGTATACCAAGGATCATGAGAATGGAGCAGGACCCAGAAGTACTTCATAAGGTCTCCATGAATTGAAACCAATTCGAAGGCACCTAACAATGACAAGCCATCTCCATACCTTTATTGATAGCTAGGGTTCTTCAGCTGGATCTATGTTTGACATTCAGGGAATCAGTCTATCCCCAGAAATTTTATCCATTCCTTTTTGTATATCTATTTGAGGAAAGCCTCTCTGACATATTAGATTATCAGCATAACCCTACTGCTCTCCTACCTCCATACATTTCATAGAAGGTATTCGTCTTTCTCTCCATCCTGCTACTGTACCAAGAATGATGCCTTTCTTCCAGAACCATTTCTTCCTGATAACATGTCCAAAGCACACAAGATAAAGCCTCAGCATCTTTTCTTCTCAGGACCATTTTGACTGTGCTTCTTACAAGACAGATTTGCCTTTTCTTCCAGAAATATATGATATATTCAATATTTTTTCACCCACCATCAATATTTCAAAGGCATCAATTCATCTTCGGTCTTCCTTATTCAATGCCCAGCTTTTGCCTGCATATGATGCAATTCAAAATGCCAGGACCTTAAATGGGGTGGAAGGAGCCTTGGTGGCACCATGCATTGGGCATTGAACACTAACAGCAAGACTTGTCCATTCAGATGGACCCTTTGATAGAAAGTTGAAACTGGGCGCTCCTGTGTGGAGAGCCTGTAGATGGTCAGTATTATTTGAAATTGACACAGTGGTAGTGGGTCTGGTTTCTGTTTGGTTTCAGGTCAGGTATACTTTAGATCTCAAAATTACATCTTTGCTCTACCACACTTTTTACAGGGTTTGTTTGCAGCAAATTTTCCTGGTGCAAAATGTCATTTGATTTCTTTATTGCTGCTTCTGGGTGTTGACTGTGGATGCAGGTAAAATGAAATCCTTAACAATTTCAAACTCTTCTTGATTTATCATGAGGTTGTTTTACTGCTTCAGTTATGACGATTTTTGTTTTCTTTCCATTGAGCTGTACTCTATACTGAAGGCTATGGTCTTAGATGTTTATCAGTAAGGGCTTCAAGTTCTCTTCCCTTTCAGCAAGCAAGGTTGTCTGATTTGAAAATTGCAGGTTGCTAATGAATCTTCTAATTCAGATGCCATGTTCTTCATATTGTCCAACTTTGGGAATTTTTTGTTCATACGGAGTCAATAAGGTGGTGAAATAATAACATTCGTGGCACATACCTTTCCTGATTTTAAAACATGCAGTGCACACTTGTTCTTTTCAAATGGCAGCCTCTTATTATATATACAGATTCCACATGAGCACATTAAGCATTCTGGAATACT